AAAAAAAAAAAAGAAGACTGGTCTGATAGAGGGGTGGAACCCCTGTGACTATAGCCCTTAGATACTCTGCTAACAGAACTAATAGCACTCCTAGAGATCCCCTTTCAGACACATTCAAAACGAAACAAAACAAAACAAAAACCTCACTGCCGTCAAACCAATTCCACTCATAGCGACCGTCCTTGGGTTTTCTAGGCGGTATCTCTCCGGAAGTAGATTGCGCAATCTTCCTCCTCAGGAGTGGCTAGTGGGTTTGAACCGCCACCCTTCTGGTTAGCAGTCAAGTGAAAAATAACACCTGGGAGAAACACGCTCCTCAGAACAATCAATTACAAGAGACCAAAAGGTAAGCATTTGTCCAAAAGCAAAGTTAGGAAGGCAGGAAAACTGGGCCCACGAATAAGCTCAAGGTGGAAATGGCGAGAATGCAACCATGTCAGGGAACAATCTATAAATTTCTTAATAGGAAACGAGTTTACTTTGTAAATTTTCACCTAAACCACAAAATATTTAAAGTGTGTGCCGACTTACAGCGGCCCTACAGGACAGAGGAGAACTGCCTAAGTTTCTTAGTGTACCAAAATATATCTGGGAGCAGATACCCAAGTCTTCCCCGGCGGAGCCACTGGGGTGAGTCGGAACCACTGACCTTTCAGTTAGCAGCCAACCGCATAACCATTGCACCACCAGGCCTTCTTCAGTTTAAAGTGATGCTCCTATTTTTTGAGGGCCTCGGTTTTGTTTCATATCACTGGTTGTTTCTTGACCGACCCCCTCTAAACCTCTCCGCGACCCTGGCCCACATTGCCTGCATCTGCAAGAGTAGCATAGTGGCTAAAAGCACTTGACTGCTAACCAGAAGGCTGGCGGTTCACACCCACCAGCCACTCCTCGGAAGGAAGGTTAGGCAATCCTACTTCTGTAGTGATACTGCCTCGGAAACCCAAGGAGGGGTCACTATGAGTTGGGGCCGACTCGACGGCACATAACAACAACATAACAGCAAGAGTCAGCGTGGCCGAGGGCGGCGACCGCCCAGCGAGAGGAGAGGGCGGGGGAACGGGGCGGGCTAAGAGCTGGTTTCCGGCGGAAAAAACGGGAGGCAAGATGGCCACCACCAAGAGGGTACTCTATGTAGGTAAGTAATGGGGATAAGGCCGGGTCTTCATACAGAGTTCGGACTGTGCCCGGGTTGGGGGCGACGGTGACTAATCGCGGCACCAGGAAGCGAGCGGCGGCCTGGACCGGCTCTCTTGTGGGAGTTTTCCCCACAGCACATGCTTGGCGCTCGCGAAGTAACGGCTTTGCTGCCCACAATCTCTTCCCCTTCTGACCCTGCGTCTGGACGGGTGGTGACGGGTGTTATTGTGGCCTCTGACCGCAGCCTAAACACTTAGACCTATTCCTTCCGCAGTTCCGCAGCGTTGGCCCTTTAGAGGATAGAGTTGCTAAAGTGGCTAGGGTACTATGGAAACAGCCTTACAGCGCGAGTTGGTGAGCTTTACGTGGGACTGCACGACAGACAGTGCTGAAGAAGGAGGGGGGGTAGGGGTTTCGGGGAATCACCATTCTATCCCGAGAGGTGGGGGCAAACTTCCCGGAGGCGGTGAGGTCAGAGCTGGGTTTAGAAAAGATCAGGTATTGGGTGGGCAGCTAAGGTGGGGGGAGCAAAGCTGTTTCCTGAATGAGAGTTTGTTATATGTTAGATTCCGACTCACGGCAACCGCATGTTTTAAAAAGAACTGCTCCATAGGGTTTTCTTGGCTGTATCTTTCTTTTTTAAAAGTATGATTTGGGTGAAAGTTTACAGAGTATATTCGTTTTCCATTCAGCAGTTCATACACATTTTGTTTCATGACATTGATTGCATTCCCCATAATGTAACAGGTCTCTTCCCGCTTCCTCCCTGTGGTTACCTTTTTGTTGTATTCTTTCCTATGCACTCCTGCCCTCTGAGCTGTCTCCCCGTCCAAACACTGCCCTTATGATTTCCCACGGTTTGTTGAATGTTCTGAGCATTGTACCTACCTGGTGTAAATGTTCATCTTATATGTCTGTCTTTTGTTTGGCTGGAAGCCATGGAAGTGAGTTCAGTTCCAGCCCTGAAGGGTGACCAGGAGCTATAGTCTCCAGGGTTTGGCCACTCTCTGTGGGACCAGTAAGCCTGGTCTTTTTTTTTCCCCTTTATGATTTAGAGTTTTGTTCCACGTTTTTCTCCCACTCTATCCAAGATTTCCTGCACTGATCCCTTTCTGAGTGGTTGACAGTGGTAGCTGGGCACCATCTCATTCTTCTGGTCTCAGGATCATGTAGGCTGAGATTCACATGGTCCACTAGTCTCTTGAACTAATTTTTCCCATGTGTCTTTTATTTTCTTCATTCTTTGCTCTGAATGAGGAGAGGCCAGTTGTTGCATCCTAGATGGCTGCTCTTGTAGGACCCCAGTTGCTACTCACCAAAGTAGGGTGTAGAACAATGTTTTTGTGTAGTAGTTATATCTTGGCTGTCATCTTAAAGGAAGCAGATTGCCAGGTTTTCCTCAATACCGCTGAATGGGTTCCAACCTTCAGCCTGTAGTTTAACAGTCAAGTGCAAGCTGTTTACACCACCTAGGGACCTTGAATGGAGAACAGCAAGCGCAGAACCCCAGAAGTGTGAAGTAGCTTGGTATCTGGGGGCAAACAGTTGGACAAGCAATGGGAAAAGAGGCTGGAAAGGTGGACAGGGCCCAGGTTATTAAGGTCTTATGTACCATGCTAAAGAATTTGTCATGGGGGCAGAGGAGGACTTTTAAAGAATAGTAAGCAGGGAAATAATATAGTCAGATTGGCACTTTCTTGGAATCATTCTGGTGGATGTGTAAAGGAGAGAGAAATTGGAAGCAAAAAGCCAATTTAGAAACTGCCACAGTAACAGTAGTTAGATGAGGGTCTGACAAGAAGTGGAAGAGGAGTGAACTCACTAGTCCATTTGTGTACCCAAGAGACTATAGGGCCCCTCTTCCTTTCCCTATGGCGATCATGCTAACAGCGTGTTACAGCGACTACTCCAAAAGTATTAAGGATGGTGGCTCAGAAGGCTCTTGGCATCTTTGCAGGTGGGCTGGCAGAAGAGGTGGATGACAAAGTCCTTCATGCTGCTTTTATTCCCTTTGGGGACATCACAGATATTCAGAT